GTACCCAACCTTAAAAATGAAAGTTTATTTTAAAGCCTTCTGTGATGTATTATTGAGATCTATGTAAATATTTAAATGTATATCTTTAATATGCATGGTATTAAACCTGTCACTTTGTACATTTATTTTGTCAGACCTGCTCGTGTGTCTTTGGTGGGCTTTACCTAAACAGCATAACCTCCTGGGGCAAATATACTTTTGGACAATTCTATCTTTTTAACCAATTATTTTATACTCATCTACTTTTAAGCTAATTATTGTAACTATATAGTCTTGGAATTCAGAACGATAGTTTATGAAACAAGCAGCTGTGATCAAAGGTAACTTGGTTGTCTAGGCTTGTTCTTTTTTTCTTTTTTTTTTTTTTTTGAGACAGAGTCTCGTTCTGTCTCCAGGCTGGAGTGCAGTGGTGCGATCTCGGCTCACTGCAACCTCTGTCTCCCAGATTCACCTGCCTCAGCCTCCCAAGTAGCTGGGACTACAAGTGTGTGCCACCATGCCCAGCTAATTTTTGTATTTTTTAGTAGAAACGGGGTTTCACCATGTTGGCCAGGATGGTCTCGATCTCTTGACCTCATAATCTGCCAGCCTCAGCCTCCAAAAGTGCTGGGATTATAGGCGTGAGCCACTGCTCCCAGCCTGTCTAGGCTTTTTCTAAACAAGGGTTTTGATTTTTTTTTTCTGCTTTAGCAATGTATAAAAAAAAAATACCGTAAATAGTTAATACTTACTTAGGGCTTAGACTCTGAGGGCAGTTTTCTAAAGTCAGACTTTCAGTGTTTTGCCTCTCCTGTTATTGTGAAATATTAGCTTGCCTTCAAATTGAACTTTCAAGGTTCATGGTTTTGCTTAACAGTTTGACATTAAGCCAGTTGAATTTGACTGTTTCACTCTCTGCGTTCAGGGTGGATTTCCTCTGCCTGTGGCAGAAAGTGAACTGAATTTAGTGATGGAAATCCTGGTTTCTGCGCCTTGCTGCACGAATACCTGTTGACCTTGGGCAGATAACATGTCCTCTCTTAGTTTTCTCATCTATAACATGGCTTAACACTACTTATTCTGCTTGTCAAACTTGTGTGGAAATCAAATAAAATGATGTCTTCCTTAAAACTCTGAACTACTGAGTTTTATACTAAGATCCTATTCTACATCATTGGTGTACCTTTTCATGATTGGTGTGCTTTTACTTCCTTCTCCTAACCTCAATAACTGCCAGAAAGAATTTTGGAATAAAGCACTATGGGTTTGTCTTACTCCTTAAACTTGATTTCCTGGTGGTGAATCTGGGTTTATTGCGAGTTACTTTGAGGTGGAAAAATGGAACTTCTGGAGATAACTTTTTTTATCATTAAGAAATTACAATGATAAAATGAATAGGTAACAGTACAGTTTTTCAGAACCCTTTCTTTTGCTAGATTTTTACTTTTCTTTCCTTTATATACCCCTATAGCAGAATCCCTAGTGTGTTGATTAAGAACATAGGCTTACTGTCAAATTCCCTGGGATGGAATCTAAGTCCACTGTGGCCCTTGAGGAAGTAACTTAACTTCCATTACACCTCAATTTTAAAAATCTGTATAATGGAGATTATAATATTGCTTAGTGTATAGGGTTGCTGTGTGGTTTAAATGAGATAATATATGTAAATTGCTTAGCATAGGGTCTGGTACTTAGAAATGTTCAAAATGTTTTAGTATTGATAATTTCTGAGAATCTGTTTACCCTTCCATTCTTTTAAACTTAAGTGATGGTTTCGTGTTTTCTGATACAGTTTTTCTACTTATGTTTATATTCTATATTCAGAATTTAGTTTTCAGTTTTATTGCAGGCATGAACTAAACTGTAGTTAAATTTTAATATTTAAATATTGCGCTTTAATTTTCAGTAAGAAATGGTTAATATCTAAAAATTATTTATTCTAGAGTTTTCAAATTATTAACCAAAATAGCATCATAATATAGGATTTTTTTTGTTTAGAGTTTAAAATCTGAAGTTAAGAAAATTTATGAGGCCTGCCACTAAAATATAAACAATAAGAGGTCAGGAATTTCTTTTCTGATTTGTTTGTCATTACATCTTCAGTACCCAGAATCGGGCTTAGCAAATAGTGGGTGGTCAGTGGAAGTTTGTGGAATATTATAAATGAATTTTGTGAGCATAGATCCTTATTTCAGGCTTTGGTTTCCTTATTGCATTGTAGCTGTTTTTTCAGTGTGTTTTAAGCTCCTTTAAAGATCTTTTTAAAGACCAGTTGGCAACAGACATTTTTAAGTACACAAACATAATGAGAAATGCAGTGTGTGTGAAACTTGGTGTGGCCTCCCAGCTCAGTTGAGGCTTGAATGAAGAGATGATGTGCTTATCCCTCCAGCGTGGGCTGAGAAACTACAAGGAGATGTATCATAGCTTAGTTCCTTATTTCAAATGAGAATTCCTACTATAGTGAAATGTACAAACAAAAACAATCTAGTACCACATACAAATAATTTTGTATCTTTGATATAATCATTCTTCCAAAGTTCTTTCTTAATATTTAAGTGGAACTTGGTAAGAATCAGTTGTATTCAGATTCTAACTCTTAAAGAGCCTTAGTCCTGGCTGGGCACAGTGGCTCATGCCTGTAATCCTAACACTTTGGGAGGCCAAGATGAATGGATTGCTTGAGGCCAGGAGTTCAAAACCAGCCTGGCCAACTTGGTGAAACTCTAAAAAAAAAAAAAAAATCATCAGCACTGATTCTATAAAGCTTAAATTGCTTAGCTAAAAGCCTCATGATTTTAAGACATCTCTCTCTGGCTTATTCTAGGCCAACAATACTAACTAGGGTCTCTAAAATTCCAAGTTTTGATATGCTATCTTCCACAGTCATTCATTACTAATTATAAATACCAGGCAAATAACAGCAATAGATTAAAACCCAAAGGAAGTATGGCATTCCAAAGGCTAACAGATAATTCAGATTGGCAACATATATGAAAAAACCACCATCCAGACACATCTTCTAAAAAACCTGAACTACCTCTCTAAAAAGAGCTCAATATCGGTTAGACACAGACGAGAGGAAAAAAATGACTCAAATTAATTTAGAAGTTACTAAACTAGAACAGTTATCAGATAATCTTTTAGCTTTCACTTGTGTTTAGTGTTAGATGTTCTCAGATTACTAAAAAAGAAAAGGATTCAAGTGAACATCTAGAAGCCTATCTTGTGCATTTAAGAAGCCCAAAATGCAGTTTCTGAAGAATAAGGTCATGTATCACAAACAATCAAACCTTTTTCAGGAAATATCAGAAATCCTAATTGGAATGAACATACACTATATTCTATGAAAGATTTATAGAGCCCTGCATTTCCCTAAACAGAATTGACTATGAAAATAATTAGAATATGTGGCAGATGCATTTAATCAGCAGAGTGGTATTAAGCAAACAACAACCATCTGTAAACAGATTTACTCTCAGCTGGGGAAAAAAGAGGTTATCATAAGAGAACATGTCTGCAAAGAAGCATACAACCAATGAAAAGCAATGACTCAAAGAGATACAGAAAGATGAGCTGAAAGAAAGTGGCTACGAAGAATGTTCCAAACATCTTAAAGGCTATGTCCAAGGCTTCGGAGGACCGTTACTATACCGGTAAGAGAAACCAATGCAGAGGGCAACAACAGCCATTTTACATTTTCTAAGACCCAGAATCTCCTTTCCATGCCCTGCCTTCAGAAATAACAAAACACTGACCCTGAAAGGCATGGCAACAGCCAGGGACTTGAAGAATACAGTTCACAAGACCTACTGAGAGCACCCCATCCTGC